CATATTGGATATTAAACAAAAAAATCACCACTTCTTCTTTTGGTTTAAAATGAAATTTAATATTGGAGGTACATCCTCTTTTCAAAATTCTTCTTCTTCATCAGACTCATCTGAATTTGATGAGTGGCTGATCAATGAACATGCAGCAATAGAGAGAGACAAACAAATAGCAATAATTTTTTTTTTTCAACAACAACCACCAGATTCACCACCTACTAAATCACGTAAGTCATCGAGGCTCTATTCCTGGTCACACAGTTATACACCGTGATAGAAAAAATGCTCATCATAATTTGTTTAATGATTACTTTTCTGACTATTCTGTTTATGGTGAAAGAGAGTTTCATCGTCGATTCCGAATGTCAAAGCGGTTATTTCTTCATATTGTCGATGCTGTTGAACAACATGACAACTATTTCAATCAGCGTCGTGATAGGCTAGGCAGATTGGGCTTATCAACCCTTCAAAAAGTGATGGCTGCAATTAGGATTTTGGCGTATGGTATGCCCGCCGATGCCACCGATGAATACATCAAATTAGGAGAATCTCCAACAATTGAATGCATAAAGAGATTTGGTCATGAAATTGTAGCAGTGTTTTCCGAGTGGTATCTCAGGTCACCAACAGAAGATGATATGGCAAGGCTTCTCAATATCGGCCAACAACAATGATTTCCTGGAATGTTGGGTAGTCTTGATTGCATGCATTGGAAGTGGAAAAATTGTCCAACGACGTGGGCTGGACAATCTTCAGGTCATTGCGGATCCCCAACAGTCATTCTTGAAGCTGTTGCAGATTATGATGTATGGATATGACATGCTTACTTTGGTATGTCTGGCAGCAACATTGAGATTAATGTTTTGAAGTCTTCTAATTTTTTTTTAAAACTTGCTCAAAGTACCGCTCCTCCAGCTAATTATATCATACAGGGAAAAGAGTATAACATGGGTTATTATTTGGCTGATGGTATTTATCCGAAATGGTCAATTATTGTCCAAACTATAAGCAATTCCGAAGGTCCCAAGAAAAGATTATTTGCAGCAAGACAAGAAGCATGTCGAAAAGATGTTGAGCAGACATTTGGAGTTTTGCAATCAATGTTTGCGATCATAGCCGGATCATCACGTTATTGGAAGAAAGAGATTTTACATGATGTAATGACTGCATGCATTATAATGCATAACATGATAATTGAGGATGAATGTGATATCAACGCACCAATTAGAGAAGCAAGAGCAACACTAGAGATAACAGTTAAATGGCAATAAATGAAAATGCCCGGTTTCAACAATTTTTAGCTTGTAATCTACGTATAAAAAATAAAGAATCTCATTTATCACTTCGAAATGCGTTGATTGATCATATATGGCAGCATTATGGAGATAATTTTATTGAGTAATTTGTTGTTTTATATGTAATTTTATGATTTAAATTATGTGTATTTTATAATTATTTATATGTTTTTTTAAATATTTTACTTATTTGTATTTCATGTAATTATTTGTTTAATCTATGTTTTATATATATATTTTTATGAAAGTTTATATCATTATTATCAATTATTATTTATATTGAGGACTGTAATGCAATTTTTAAGTTCTTTTAAAGGTGGATTTGAGGTTTTACCATTGGAACAAAACAACCTTAAATCCCTATTTTGAGGTTTTGTCACCCTTAAAATGAGGTTTTGGGTTGGAGATGGTTTTAGTCAGGAGCAGGTGCTCTGACTAAAAATGATCCATCTGCGTGTGAATTGAGTTTTTTTGCTCAGCTTTGACTCCTTTTTGCTCCAAACGCTCTATTTGCTCTAATCCTCGCCTAAAGATTCCAAAGACTCTAAAAAGATCAGTAAATACGGATTAGAATAAGTCAAAATTGCCACATATCAACTCCCCCGGATTCAGACATTTGTTTGTCCTCAAATAAACCAAAATCCAGTCCAAAGAGTGATTCAACAATGGTGAGAACTCGCAAAATCTCAGAAATCGTAAATTTGACCATGACCTGCAGACCACATATTGTAACATCAATCCATATCGAACCACCATGTACTTCTCTGCAGACATTTGCAGCTTCCCAAATTAAATCCATAATTTCACAACATCATCCATATTTCCTCATTGCTGGGTATCATTGATGAATCCAATACCAAGAACCTTATAGACTCTTTCCCGTACTATACTTTGAAAAATCAGCCATAAAATCTCTGGTACTTTTTTTTTTCTAGGCATATATAACAAGGTTCAAAGACGCGAATACTGATGGGATTTGCCACCGAATCCCTGGTTTGTTCCTTTATTATATATCAAAGGTGTAGGAGAATAATGAGGTCACAGGAAAGTTTCTTACCCCTTGCTTCCATCCTTTGTGTGATCATTCCTTTTTAGAAGTAAAATAATGAGATCTTTGGAAATTTTCTTAACAATTTACTTCTAAAAGAAAATCATTTCAATATTTTTCTGCCTTTTATTTTTATTTTTTAATGAGCATAAGGGAGAGAAGTACCTTGTCTAGATCTCACACAGGCTTTCAGTTGTCAAGTATGAATGAGGAGTCAAACTCTATGAACACCAGTCACATCAGTGAGGTAAAAGAAAGAATTCAGAAATTAGCTCGGGTCAATGGATTCTGTCAGAATATGGACGCCTTTAGTTAACTGGTCAGCTTTGGATTTTTCATTAGTCGGATCTAGACTGATTCTGCAGGTAGAAAGTGATAACACCTGATTTTGACCACTTTTATGGATCACTTCCAATGTTTTATGCAGGTGTTTTCACTCAGTTTTAAAGGTTTTTAAGTGATTTCCATGTTTTAGAATATCAAAAGAGTTTTTAGGATATTTTGACAAAAGGAATACACTTGGGAGCAAAAAAGCACAATTTTGGATAAATTCGGACCGTCAGAAGTTTGGAAACAAATGGAGGCCTTCCCACCGTCTCATCATCCCCAAATTTGGACACACGATAGAGGATACAACCAGCTTTTTAATGCAATTAGAATAAAAACAATCCAACGGTTAGATCTCCAGATATGGTCGATGCACTGAAGGCGAATCAACATATGCGGAAGCTCACCCACGACCAAAACATCATCCACCGGGGGTGCGAAACTTTAGACCGCGGAGAGCTATTTCTGAGCCTCAGAAGCCTATTTTAAAGCCCAAGTCATTCCCGTCATTATTCCTGCAAGTCCTAGGCGTTTCTGATGACTCAAGATACTATATAAACCCCTTTTAAGTCATTTAGAAGGGTGTTCTGCATTTTCACCACGAACCCTAGAGAGAGAGACTCGTCGTGAAGAGGAGCCACCGAGAGGGGCACCATTGGTTCTCCTGCTTCACTCTGTTCTTCGTTTCTAACCTTTGTCTCTTTCAATTCTATGTAATTCTAAATACTTTTGTGATGTTAAACTCAGCTATGTCTGAGTAATTTCCCAGTTGGGTTTTTAGGAGATTTTTCAAAAGGAATTTCATGTCTTGATCATATGCTTTGTTCAATTTAAGGTTCATAATCATCTAAGAGTCCTTCGTTCATTCTTGTTCCTTATGCTGTTTCTGTTGCTAACCGCTTATAAATTGATCTCAGTAATTGGAGCTACGAGAGTGTTGTATTGAATTACTAGACCTAGAAGTGATCGAGCGAATCCCTATAGGAGACAAAAGATACCTATAGAGAATCGCGAGCATGGACAAATTCTGTTTTTAATGCATGATCTTATTCGTGGCATGAGAGCGAAAGTTAATTGCTGTGTTAAGTGATTTATTGATTAGGGTGACGAGAGTTGGCTAATCATACATGCGGCTATTCGAGTTCGGGATTTTCACTAGATGATTACCTTTATCGATTTGTTTGTCTTTTGATCAGTTCATGAATCCCTGCAAAAACCCTTTAGACCCAACATTTAGTTCTTATTGCTTTACAGCCTTTTCATTTCATTTGCATTTAGATTTAGTGATACCAAAACCAAAAATCCCAATTTTGCTTGTTCTACTAGTCTTTGTTCTACTAGTCTTAAGTCTTGATTGATTCGTACTGAAAGCTCAAAATCTCTGTGGTTCGACCCCTAAGTACTACAGCGTACATCTGTGCATTTGCAGATATTTAGGGTTATAAATTTAAAACATGACGGTAGAAGTAACCCTTGATTCTCTTAGCATCAGAAAGATGGCAAAATTCACATATGGTCTAAACTTATCATAGATCAAATGTCCTAATTTCCACAAGTTTTGACTTGACTCATGTAACAAACTGACTCTAAGAAACAAACTGACTCAAAGAAAAAAATAAAAACTGACTCAAAGAAAGTACTAAAAGAAAGAAAACAAATGAAAGAAGTAAAAAGGACACGACCCTCCCCCGGACTTACTTCACATCATCTCCGGTGTGAAAATAAGCTAGAGAGTGCCTAGAAAACTTACCTGGTTCGCACATGTAGAGCATCCTGGTGGAGCAGGTTCTCTGGAACAGAGTTGGGTGCTCCTTCATCATCATTCACCGCCTCGAGTACCCGATGGAGCATATGCTCCGGATTAGGGGGTGCTCTTTCTTTTTCTTTACGCCTCGAGCAAGTGATGGAGCAGGTGCTCCCGTTTCCCTTAGGTTGCTCCTTCGTCTCTTTTTTCCGCTTGGAGAAACCACATCAGCAGATGGAGCAGGTGCTCCCGTTTGTTGCTCCTTCTTCTTCTTCCTCACTTCATCTCTTCTGCGAGGAAAAACCTTTCTCCCTGTTTTTTTTTTTTTGAAATGAAAACCAAAACTAAAAGTTAGTAGCAATGAAAATAAAGACATAAGTTAGAGACTCTCACCGGTGGGTTACCTCCCACCAAGCACTTGGTTTAAGTCACTAGGTTGACTTGGTTAGCCATTTAGGCTTGAAGAGGATCGCCTAAGGTGAGAGTTCCACCTTCTGTGATGTTTGGACCTGCGAGGTATGGCTTCAGCCTCCGTTCTGATAACAAATTCTCTTCCCTTAGTGCCCAACAACACTACATCTCTATATGGTCAAACCTCCTTGATGGTGAAAGGTCCAGACCACCTTGATCTCAACTTCCCAGAAAATAGCTTCAACCGAGAATTGAACAACATCACCATATCGTTTGGAGCAAAATTCCTTGCGAGAATCCTTTTGTCATGATAAGCTTTGGTCCGCTCCTTGTAGATCTTTGAGTTGTCATAGGCCAGATGCCTAATCTCTTCCAGCTCATGAAGCTGCATATTTCTCCTCTCAAAGGCACCCTTATACTCAAGCTCTACTGGGAGGTGACATGCTTTCCCATACACCAAATGAAATGGTGTTGTTCCCAAAGGTGTCTTATAAGCTGTCCGATATGCCGAGAGCATCGTCAAGCTTTACTGACCAATCCTTCCTCGTGGTGCTCACAGTTTTCTGCAATTTTTTTTTTGATTTCCTGTTGGAAACCTCGACTTGCCCACTTGTTTGAGGATGGTATGGAGTTTCGACCTTGTGATTTATACCATTCTTCTTCAGCAGATTCTCGAAGACCTTGTTGATGAAGTAGGAATCTCCATCGCTAATGACCAATCGCAGCACACCAAACCTTGAAAATATGACATACTTGAACATTTTAACAACCACTCTTGCATTGGTTGTGGGGCTAACTAAAGTTTTAACCCACTTAGGCACATATTCAACTGCCACCAGGATGTACTCATTGCCATAAGATGATGGGAATGGCCCCATGAAATCGATATCCCATACATCAAAAACTTCCACTTCCAAAATGAAGTTCTTCGGCATCTCATTCCTCCTGCTTATATTCCCTTGTTGCTGGCATGTGTCACACCTAAAAATAAATCTTTGTGCATCTCAGAACATAGTGAGCCACAATTACCCAGCGTGAAGTACTTTTGACACCATTTTGAAAGTGGTAAAGTGACCAGCATAAGGAGAACCATGGAAATGAAATAAGATCCCAGGAATCTCTTAATCAGTTACACATCTCATGAAGATCTCATCTGAGCAATGCTTGTTCAAATAAGGCTCATCCCAGAAATAGTGCCTAATGTCTCTCATGAACTTCTTCTTCTTGTTTCCCACGAAATCCACAGGTTCTTTCTCTGCAGCAAGATAGTTCGCGATTTCTCCAAACCATGGAAAATTGGGTTGTTGATTGCTGTCGATTAAGTAGCATAAGTTCGTCGGAGCAGGTGCTCCAAGTTAGAGCGGGTGCTCCTCAACTCAAAAACATCAATGGCGTAGACTTTCTCATTAGAACGGCTGTCATCTAGGGGAATGTCATCTTAAACTTTTCAACCTTGACAAGTGGTCTACAACACCATTCTCGATCCCCTTTTTGTCCTTAATCTCCAGATAAAACTCTTGCACAAAAAGATCCATCGAAGAAGTCTTGGTTTCCGGGCAGCATGATCGGTGTAGGCGATAACCTTTGATCCCACAAGGTAGGATCTGAACTTCTCAAAAGCAAAAACCATTGGTAAAATCTCTTTCTCAGTCGTGGCACCTGCACTGAGCTTCATTGAGAGTTCGAGTGGTATAGTAAATGATGTGGAGCTTCTTTTCCTTCCTCTGACCCATAACTGCTAACACTGCATAATCACTAGCATCAGTCATGATCTCAAAATAAAAATCCCAATCTGGTGGCTGAAAAATTGGAGAGCTGACCAAGGCTCCTTTGATCGTATGGAATGCCTCCAAGCATGCACCGTCAAACTCAAATTTCACCTCTTTGCAAAGCAGCTGCGTTAGAGGTCTGGTTATTTTTGAGAATTCCTTGATGATCTGTCTGTAAAACCTAGGATGTCCCAAAAAGCTTTGGATTCTATTGACTGTAGTTGGTGGTTGCAAACTCATCATCACCTCAATCTTTGCTTTGTCCACTCCGATCCCCTTATCTGAGATTTTGTATCCCAACACGATCCCATCTCTCACCATGAAATGATACTTTCCTAGTTCAGCACAAGATGCTTTCTCACACTGCTGCAAGAACCTGCACAAATTAGTCAAACAGACAGAAATAAGCTTCCATAGACGGATAAATCGTCCATGGAAACTTTCATTATGTCCTCAATAAGGTCAGTAAAAATGGACATCATGCAGCTCTGGAATGTTGCCGGGGTATTGCACAAGCCAAATAGCATTTTGCAGTAAGTAAAAGTGCCATAAAGACAAGTGAATGTCGTCTTTTCCTGGTCGTCTAGGTGGATCGGGATCTAAAAGAAACCTGAATAACCATCTAAAAAGTAATAATATGGATGGTTAGCCAATCTCTCAAGCATCTGATCAATAAATGGCAATGAAAAATGATCCTTTCAGGTTGCAGCATTTAATTTTCTGTAATCTATACATATCTGATGCCCTGTAACAGTTCTAGTCGGTATCAATTCATTCCTATAATTTTTGATCACAGTGATGCCACCCTTCTTAGGAACTACATGAAACGGACTAACCCAATTACTATCGGAAATAGCATAAATCACACCAGCCTCTAGAAGTTTCATTATCTCTTTCTTAACAACATCTTTTAGATTTAGATTTAACCTCCTCTGATGATCCACATAAGTCATCGATTCATCTTCTAGATGTATTCTATGCATACAAAGATCCGGAGAAATATCCTAGAGCCATCCTATACTTTCTAAGTTCACAAATAAGCAAGGAAATCTCTACATTATTCAATACTGAGTTTACTATCACTGGGTATTTCAAATTTGGAAGGGATTTAAGCTTAAGTTTCAGAAATCTTAGTTCACTCCAAGGGCCATCAATTGAACCATCGCGAGCAGGTGCTTCGGAATTCAGAGCAGGTGCTCCATCGATTTTTCCTTGCCTTCCAAGCTCATGTAAGCGACCAGTTTATCCATCCTCATGCTTGCATCCAACACCCTTGCGAACCCATCAACTTCCTCACTTAGAAACCCAAAATCACCTTTAGCTTTTGTCAATGCCACTTCTAAGGGATCATTGGCTAACACTTCTTCAGCTACCTCATCTGCAATGTCTGAACCATCTTCTATCACAAATCTCTGTCCATCCAGCATTGGCTTCTATAAGAGCTTGTTCATTTCAAACCTCACCATCATATCTCCCAGTTGGAGATCGATCACGCATTCTTTCATATTAATGATCAGCAATGCATAAGAAGGATTGAACCAAAATTAAAAGGTCTTTGGGTTCTTCATCAAGTTCCAGAACCACAAAATCAAACTGGAATAAGTGTATCGCCTATCTGAACATGTAAATTCTTAAGTAGTCCAACAGGAAATTTGGTTGACCTATCGGTGAACACCAGCGAGATTTTTGTTGGCTTGAACTTGGTGTACCCTGTCGCTTGTCAACAAAATATGGCATCAAATTCACACTTAAACCCATATCGCAGAGGAAACGTGGGAATATCATGTGACCAATCCTCACTGATCACTCCTCTTCTTCAGCACCTTATTCTGCAATACAGAGCTGCACTCCTTCGAGACCATCATCACACTTTCTTCGTCAACAGCTTTCCTAGAAACTAATCCTTTCATGTATCTCTTAAGAGCTGGTATCATCTAAACGGCATCAACAAGGGGGGGGGGGTTTCACAGTCAAATCCCTCAGCATCTCCTTGCATTTTGGTTCCTCTAACTCCTTGCAAAACTTCTTAGGTGGAACTGGGTATGGTACCTTAGGTACATAAGCTCGTGCTGAATGATTAGCTGGAGCAGTTGGCCAGAGCAGGTGCTCTGTTGGGGGTCTGAGATGCTCCCTCGTCTCTACTTCTTCAGGAGAAGGTGATTCATGGCCTGGAGCAGGTGCTCCAGAAGAAGAGGCATGCTCCATCGTCTTTTCTTTGCCAGTTGCAGGTGCTCCTGCTTGGAGCAATAACTCCACGAGCTTCTCCTTTCTTTTCTCTGAACCGGCGACTGGTGGTGCTGCAGCATGTAATGTATTTCCGCTCCTTAGCTCAGTTGCATTCACAGACTCATTCCTGGGATTTTCTCCTTTTTCCGGAAGAGTTCCAGGTGGTCTCTTCACAGCTTCAACAGTCTGAGCTACTTGGACATCCAACATTTTCACATGAGTCCACACTGATTCATCTTTACCATTCAGATCATTGTACATTATATCCACGTTAGCGTTATGATAAGTGGCGATTTTGAATCATTCTAACCCGTGTTTATCGATATTTTTAAGAGTCTTTGGAGTCCTTTTCAGGTCGTTTCATGTATCTAGGAGGCTTTAGGCGAGGATTGGAGCAGCTGGAGCTTTTGGAGCAAAAAAGGAGTTAAAGCTGAGAAGAAGAGCCCAATTCACGCGTAGATGGACCATCCTTGGTCGGGAGCACCTGCTCCCGACTAACCCATTTCGTGGTGCACCTGCTCTAACCGCCTGGAGAAAAATAAGAAAAACGTTTTTTACCTAATTCTGAGACGCAGGAAGAGAATAAAAAGACAGAGCCGCCTCAGAAACACACACCTTTTTCTGTCACGCTTTATTTTTACATTCTCTAGACTTTTGAAGTTTTTGGCTTGTAAGATTTAGGAGAAAAATCTCTACTACACTTGAGAAGAATTCTGAACCTTCTTAATACCTCTGAGTTTTATTCATGAATTTCTTTTCATCTTGTGCTTTTATTCTTTTCGCCATGTCTGAGTATATCTTTTAGCTAGACTAAGGTGTTCAAAGGATTTTCATGAGTTAGTAATTGAATGCAAATATGGCTTAATTAAATTGTCTTCACCACAATTGTTCTTAATGCTTAGGTTGAACTGATCACTAAATCTACGATCTTAGGTTAACCTGTTCGTCAAAAGTGTAATAGGTTGCTAGAACAAACTTTGGTGAGTGGTTTGTCCTTAGCCAACAACAGTTGATGTTAAGGCAAAGCGTGAACTTATCAGACCTGCTTGTTAATGCTTGGCTGCGTATTCTACATTCAAACGACAGTTTAGAATATAGGTCAATGGACAAAGTTATTGATACCACAAGAGTGGGTTGGTATGCATTCATGTTTGAGTTAGAGAATTTCATTTATCTGTGTCCTGAATAGTCGTTTGACTTCTATCTCTAAAATTCCTGCGAATTGCCCTACTCTAGTGCTTTGTTTCATTGAATGTTAAATTGTTAATTACATTCTCTTGCGTGTTACATTACAACCCCAACAACCATTTTTGTTTTAGCTTTGTTTCAACCCTCGTAGAGTCATAGAATAACACTGGTCCTCTGGATTTCGAATATTTTGTACTACAATCTTAAGCTGTTCTATTGGAGTAGAAACTAGAAGATAATATCCAGTGAATCACGTTGATCTCTATAGATGCCTTTTGCTGATTTCCCAACAGCTGTTGCATCAGGTTCTTCAGCTTATCTTGCGAGTTGTTTGCAGAACTCGAAGAAGGCTGCAAGTTAGTGAAAGGCAATTTCTGCTGACACCTCCTTGAAAATGGTTTTGGGTGGGAATGAACTGCTTCCCTTGAAAACTGTTGGAGTAGTTCTTCTGAAGCCCTGACTGATTATGACCTCCTTGCTGCGGATAGACCTGATCTTGAGGGTTATCAACTCATAAGCACCTGCTTTGGAATTAGTCAAAAATTGCCATTGCTGGCTGCATTCAAAGCAGTCATGTAGTCCCAGTTAACACCATCATAGAAGGTAGCCAGAATATGCTCATCAGAAAACCCATAGTGAGGGCCCTCTCTTCGGTACTCCATGTACATTTCCTAACCTTCGCAAAAAGCTTCTCCAGGCTGCTGCCGGAACAATGAAATCTTCTTCCTCAGAGATGCGGTTTTGGACTTGGTGTAGAAGTGGTCCAAAAATGTTGATCTGTACTGTGCCCATGTAGTCAAAGACCCAGGTGGTAATGATTTCAGCCAGCGTGAAGCTTTATCCGCAAGTGAAATGGAAAAACTTGCATTTTCGGAAATCGCTTGGTATGCTATTCGAACCAGTTGTGCTGCAAATCTCTTCAAAATTTGTGATGTGGTCCATCGCAATTTCAGCAGAGAGCCCATGGAAAAGGTGCTGTTTCACCAATGAGATCATCTGAGATTTGATCTCAAAGTCTTGCCTCTGAATAGCCGGAGGGACAATTGCAGCTCTGTTTTGGTAAAAAGCATGCAGATTATCCTTGTCTCCAATGGCTGGTTGCCGCTGTTCCTTGTCTTGCTGAGCCTTCCGCAGCTGATCCAACTGCTGTCAAAGCTGCTGCAGTTCAGCAGCTATTTCATCATTGCCTTGGTCGCCCATGTTGGCTGTAGTAGGCTTTTGTCGTCTGTTTGCTCGCTATACTCTTGCAAGCTCTGCGTTCGATAAGGTGACTAGATCCTCGATGCGATTGCTTCTTGTGGATCTCTTTGTCATACACCCGAAACACACGCAAGAGAGAAAAGAGAGCAAGTTAGTAAAATCTTAGACCGAATTTCAAGCCAAAAATCAAAGGTAACGAATTGGTCTCCGTCGCAACGACGTCAAAAATTGATTCACTGGATATGTTCTCATTGTTTCTACTGCAATAGAACAGATTGTAATTGTAGTATAAAGGATTTGAATTACAGAGGAGCAAGGTTAGACTATGACTCTACGAAGACTGTAACAAAGCCAAGAGAAAAGATTATTTGTTCGTAATTATGGTGACAAGTAAAAGAAAGTAAAAGACAATTTAAATTTGATTAAAACAAACACTAGACTAAGGATATTCTCAAGAATTGCAAAGATAGAAATCAAATGACTATTCAGGACACAATTTAAATTCAAGTTTCGAACTCAAACATAAATGCATATCGATCCACTATCGTGGCTTCAATAAATTTGTCTAACAACCTAAATTCTAAACTGTTGTTTAAACCTAGAAATCGAAGACAAGCATTAACAAGCATGTTTCGAAATTCTTTTGTTCTCTCTTGCAGATTCTTTATCAGTCCAGAGTTCTTCTGGTTCGAATGATTGTGCTTTATGCTTTCCTCCTTTGTTGTGTAGTGATGTAGCTTCATAGAAAATGTCCTTGTCGATATTTGCAAAAGAAACTCTCCAGTTGGACCAATCCATGATGGCTCCAGCAGTTGCTAAGAAAAGCCTTCCAAGGATAACTGGATATGAGTCATCTTTGGTCTTCACTATGTAGAGATCGACAGGTGCTATGCAATCTCTAATCCTTATAGGAATGTCTCGGGCTATGCCTCTGGGAGTTTCACTTGAATCATCTGCTAAGCTAATCTATGTCCTGGTACTTGAAATGTGTGTAATGCCAAGTCTTAAAGCAGTAGCATTGGACATCATGTTAATGCAAGCTCCATAAATATTGAGAAATCTTTTACCTCTAATGTCACAAGAGATAAGAAATTGACCTTTGTTTTGAACCTTGTGCAGGGTCCGAACTGGTCTACCTTCTTGGGCGTGTGTGAACAAGTCTTACATCTCATGGATAGATTCTTTGCTATCACAGAAGAAGTGGCCGATCATGTAATCTCTACATGTTTTGGCAAACGAAATTCTTTTGGGTAGAGTCTGAGCTACTTGATTGAACTCTTCAAGTTTTTCTTTACTGATCTTGTTTGTGTAATCACTGGATTCTTGTGGGTCTTTGAGA